TGGTAGCAACTGGAAGTCACAGCTGCCCCTGTGCCCTGGCTGTGTTGCTATGCTACTGCTGTTAGGGCAGGGGCAGGTAAAATACAGGCTGGGGGCTGAATCTGGCCTGCCAGGTCATTCTATTTGGCCTGCAGGGCTCCTAAAAAATTTAGAAAATTAATTAGTATTTTCCTGTGGCTGCCTATCAAAGATGACAAGGTGCCAGCTGCAGGATCCAGTGGTGGCAGCAGCAAGGTCCACATGGCCCCTCCCCACCCCTAGACCCCAACCAGAAACTTCTGCCTAGAGGCTTCTGGCCTGGCGACCATGGGACTGTTCCCATGGTGGGGAGGGAGCTTAGCTGGTGCAGCAGAGCCAGCCGGGCCTGGCCAGGCTCCCCCCAGTTCCTGGTTGCACCATGCGGTCCCAGCCATGCAGCCAGGAACTGGGGGGCCTGGCTGGGCTGCATTCTTCTGTGCCCTGTGGTCCCGGCCGTGAAGCTGGGAACCACATGCTGTGGAGCAGTGAGAAGGCTGGGAGGGAGTGGTGGCAGCAGGCAGTGAAGAAAGGAAAGCAGCAGGGGAAGGGCAGTGACAGCAAGTGGGTGGTGGGGAGTGCCAGGGAGCAGGCTGGTGGGAGCATGGGGCCCTAGGGCCAGTAGCAGCAGGAGCCAACTGAGAACCACGGGGGCTGGGATGGCTCCTGCTGCATTCTGCAGTCCTGGCCATGCAGCCGGGAACCACGCACTGCTGGGAGGTTCCAAGCCAGGCCAGCCAGCTCTGTGCCACGCTGGTACTCACGCAACACAGTGCAGCACAGAGCTGGCCCGGCCCAGCCCGGCCCAGTGGCATGCGGTTCCCAGCTGCAGCACCGAGACCCATGCAGCATGGCACAGAGCCAGCTGGCCCAGTCCAGCGGCACTCATTTCCCTTGGTTCCCGTGCAATTGGGTCCAGACGGGATGGGCCAGAATAGTGCCTGTGAATGGTGTTAGACTGATAATCCTGTATTTGACAGTGAGGGGAAGCAAGTTGCAGCAGGGGAAGCAAGAGTGTGATATTTTACCTCTTGTCCTGATAATGTGCTTCAACCCTGGGAGATCATCACAGAAGTCAAAGGCAGTTCAGTCTCTATAAGTCTTTGGGATAATGTCCCCTCCACTGAGAATGCTAACAGAGGTGCTAATTACTAACAGTGTGAATGGATGATTTTTATGTGGTGGATACTTACTTGTAGGAAATTAGGCTGAGACCACAAGCTCTTAAAAATACCCCCCAGGTGGTCTACTGTGAAAAGGATCCTCCCTCCTTATTTCTCCTGTTGAAAGTTGAATGTATCTTCTTTTAGAGCTTTTCAACATGACTTCCTTTGAGGCTCTCAGCACTGCTTGAGTCATCCGTTTACTTCAAAACGATGCAAAGTTTTTCCTATCTATAAACCTAGGCATACTACCTCTACAGTGCTGCCAGTGAGTTGAGGTCCACAGTGAACCTGAACCTGATGATCCCTTATGTATTGTCTCCAGACTGCCTAGTTTCAATGTGAATTTTTTTTTCTAATGGCCAAGATTATTCTTGGTGTAATTTTAGTGAACTCAGAGTCACACTCAGTCCACTGTGCCTTCCTGCTGTATGTGCACTAAGAAGATAAGCTTCATGTGCTATCAATTACATGTATTCAACTGATTTGACCAAAGGAACAATGTGACTTCATGTATTTTTATGGAAAGTAGCTTTATGTTTTGCTTTTTTTTTTTAACCAACATGAATGCAAGCCTTTCTGGGCTGGTAACAAAAGCTTTTTATACTTCATGTTGTCATAAATTGAGAAGCTGTAGTTAATTTTAAGAGTCTGCCTCAAAGCACAAGCACAACAATTAATAGACTTAAATCTGCCATGCTACCCTGGGCTCATCCCATTATGCTTAAACAGTAATTCTCATCATGAAAGCTTTGCATTTTTCTAATCCTTTAGGATACCAAAACACCTTTTCAATAGTATAAATTCAGCCTTACAACATCCCTGCAAATTTATTTTCCCTATTATAAAAATATTCAATGAATACATATTTGAATACATCTAATTTGCTCACATCCATGATCTTCGGACAAAAGTGGGTGGGTACAAAAGTGTGCATTGACTGTTTGAAATATGGGTCTAACTGACTTGTCCAAAGTCAGGTAGAAAGCCAATAATCAATCTAGAAATGGCACTTGGGCCTCCATTTGGGCTTCCTGTTTCAAACCTCAAGACCATTCATCTTTCTTTGAAAGAGATGTGAAACAGTGCATGATAGCACAAACAGGAAAGTCTGTTACAACATATACGTATCAGCCCCATATTCACCCCAATAGGCTCTGAGATGGTGGTGAACATATTAGTGGTCTTTCCTACCCTCTGAATACAGATGATGTGGCAAGAGCAAAACCTTGTCTACACTTGTTGGTTTCTACTCAGTGAAAGTTTGTGCTCACTCCTGTGGCTGTTGGCAACTGTGTGTGGCCCTCACTGGATCTGTGCATCTCTACTTCATCAGCTATGTTGGCAGGGTATGAAGTAAACCCTGGGAAAGCACCAACTGTTGAAGGCACCCAAATAGCTGGCTGGAAGTGCAGGTGTCTATACATTCATTCTTCCAGCTGCTGAGTGGTAGCTAAAACCTTACTACACTCTGCAGAGGTAGAGGCAAAGGAAAACGGCTCTGTCAGCAATGGGAGCTTTAGATGAAAACACTCAAAGTTTTGCTAGCAGACCAGTTCTTCAGGCACTTCCAATTCTCGATCATCTACAACTCAGCTACTGAGGGTTTCCAGTAACACTGCAACTCTTGCATAGTATCTGTGTTATATCTCTAAGGGCCTGTTTGCCCTAAGGATACTGACTCCAAGTGTGCTTACATCAGCATAATTGGACCTATTCAAACTCTGTAGATACACTCCACTGGGACTAAGGAAGGGGCAGCTCACTTTGATATGTGGCCAGACTATGGTAATATACATTAGGGTAAATCCTACTTTATGCCAGTGCAGTATATTCACGTTATATGGTAGCAATACTAACATGAGAATTACCTTGAAACAGGGACAGACTAAGGTCCTATCTATTACAGAAGGTAAACCATTCATGCCATCTCTTGAGCCAGTGGTTTCACTGCTTCCTCATTCCCTTGTTTTGGGGATATGTGTTTTTCCATGTTGTCTCTGTGTTATCTAGCTGCACCATTACCTTTTCTGGGTGACAGACTACAAACCCTGCCCCTTTCTTCATGTATCAACATCCCTTAGTATCTCTTCCTGTAATCTTGCTCTCCATAGGTGTCAGCCTTGGTTTGATCCTAGCTTTTGTGTTCCTAAATTGACATGCTCTACAAGTCCTTTATCCCCTTATCCCCTTTCAAAGCCATCTGGCTTTTTTCCATACCTGGCACTTCAGCAGTGCAGCACCTTTTTCTACAACCTGGCTTTGGCACATCAATATGACTATGTGCTGACAGCCAGCTGCCAAGCATATTCTACTTTCACAGGGATTGTCTTCATATTGCCTCTTGCATTTCCTCTCTGTTGACTAGTTAACTCTTGGTCCTTTCTGCCACTTTCCTCCGTGGAGCAGCTTTCTGGCCATACAGCTTACCTGGACATGTGCTGCATCTTTTTCCCTGGAGTGTAGACTGCAATGCTGCTGCTTTGATCCTGGGTAAATTGTGGCATATGGAGAAAGCCTAAAGAGATTGAACATTTTCTTCTACTACTCAGTGTCAGTCTATGTAGGGCTTAGCCTTTGTCCCCTAGTTCAGTCAAAGATTAAAAAATTCTTAAACAGGCTACTTACACTATTTTCAGTCAATTCACACACTGCTTCAGCTGTCACTTCTTAATGTTCCTGACCTTTGGTGGCTATAATCACATGTATCAAGCTGAGCTATACATCCTCTGACACCTATTTCAGTACAACAGGAATGAAAGAACACAGATTTAGTTTGTCAGCAGGAGTTATCCCTGCCATTCCCAGGCATGGTGCTTTCAGGATGTGTTGCATTGCCTAAGGGCTTGTGGTGCTTTTGCACTGTAAACAACATGGCAAGGGCTGTAATGGGAATCCCTAGAAGCAAAACAATAAGTATAGGTAAGAATTGCCATGATTGTTGACTTGCTGGAGTCTCTTGATGCTGGAACAGCTTTACTCAAGAATGGTGCCATCTGTCCAACTAGAAATACCAGTCAAGTTTTATTTTATCTTATCACTACTGGTTCCAGCTGGCAAATACATTTTGGAACAGCATGATGGCCTAACTATTCTACAAGTTCCGGTGGTACTGATGAGGAGAACTAGTAAGATCAGATGAAATTCTGGAGGAATCTAATGGAATTTGACTCTAATCATTTTGTTTTCCTTTTCCTAAAAGGTAAATTTGCATTTTAAGAGGCAGGCAAGACCAGCATTCAAGAGAAACCTGGGGTCTGTTGTTGTTGGGTTGCTGTAGGGTCACTGTCATTGTGTTACATTAAGAATGCAGCAGTCAGAGCTTGTGTAGATTAAAGAAGATCCCATATCAAGGTAGTCTTAACACTTGTATTGTATTCAGGGATCTATTTTGTAGTTGTGTTGGTCTGAGACAAAGAGAAATAGAAAATTCTAAAACTCTTGGTTCAGAGGTGATACCTTTTATTAGACCAGCTAAACAATAGCAATAACTAAATAAATACATTCTTTCTTTGCAAGCTTTCAGGCACATGCACCCTTCTTCAGGCTGAGGAGAAATAGAAGATTGTAAAAGTCCTCTTAGATAGAAAATAAACTCCATTTTGCACAGGAGAAGTTGAGGCTAGATATATGTTCCCCTGGGTCTGTGAGCATCCTTTTGTGTGAGTTGCTCTTACATTGCTATTATATTCTGATTTTGAGGTCCACTAGATACAGAAGTTTGTTCCTCTTGTTGTGATGATATAGTTCAGCTAATAGATAGAAGGAATCCTGATGTAAGACTCATTCCATTCTTGATCCATATAATTGTATTGAGTGTCTGTAGAAAATCTGCCCTGTTCTGTGAGCATAAATAAAATATGTGTATGATATCCATGTGTGCTGGAGAGAGATTAGAGAAAAGTGTTTGCCTGAACTCTGAATTTCCTTGCCTTTGTTTGGTTATTCTCAAACCCATATCATTATTATAAAGTATGGCCACTGACTTTATGGGGGCCAGGTTTTTACACCCAAGTCTTAAGGCAGATTCAAAGCTTTTTACCATAGGCTCCTAGTCATTCACTAAGTGGGTGGTTATTAAATGTTTATGTATCTTCATTATTCAGTCTGTAACCCCAAGCTTAATTTAATATGCATCATTCAAACCCTGTTCTCTCTGAAGGCAGAATTTTGATTTATTTTCCTGAGTGTTTCTTTGGTGTTTTGTCAAAGGATCCAACTGCTTCATAAACAATAATTTATTTATCCTCATAAAAGCCCCATGACATAAGGTGGTCGTGAAGTGTATTCCGTTTCTTTGCATATTGGATAAGAACATAACTTGCTTAATTGCATAATGCATTGCTAGTCCCAATTGCCTAATGCTAATGTTGTAATGAAGGCTAGAGTTACCTGCATGTTGAGTAAGGGCATAGCTTGCTTAAGGGCAGAGCATCTTGCTGGCCCACTGTTCACCTTGTAACTTAATTGTACTCCCATTAACTGCCTACTAACTGTAACTGAATGTCTACCTTGTAACGAATTGTACTCTCTTGGTGCCAAAAAATGATGAAGGAAAAACAGCTCTCAAAAGGTTGCATCATAAGAAAGCTTAGTGATCCTGCTACTTGTAGAGAAGGCAGACTGCCTGAGAAGCAACCTGCAGGTGTGCCAAGGGGCAATTAGGAGCTACATGACCTACAGGGGCTGGGCTATAAGCCAGGGCTGGAGTGGGGGCAGGGAGTCTAGCCCTGAGAGCCATAGAGAGAGGAGGTTCTGGGCAGCAGGGTTAACATCCGAGCTAGGTTAAACAAGTCTGGTGTTTATGGAAGAGACTAGGGGGAGGTAAGGAGGTCTCAGGTGGCTCAACGAAAAAGCATGGCCTAGAGGGCTTATAAAGGGAGCACAGGGTCCAGGGATCAAGTAGGGTCAGGGTACCCTAGGAGCAGGGCCAGGGCTCAGGAAGAGCCAAAGGCCAAGAAGGGCTGCAGCCCTGTCATGGCTGGAGAGCCCAGGTATCTCAAATGACCTAAGAGCTTGACCAGGGTCTAAGGAGAAGGACTGAAGGCCAGTCAGGAGGGCCACAGCTAGAGACTGAGGGGACCAGAGTGTCCATAGGCCAGAGAGAGGCTAGTGAATAGAGCCAGAAGTCTGTAACCTGTAGGGGTGGTTAGGTTATGGTTTGATCAGAATGTGTGACATCTGTGAGGCATGGGTGTGCATATTAGGGAGCATGGAGCCCATGTAATTAGCCCTTAGAGTGATGAACCATGGATACCTGTGTTCACGAGCGTGAGACCAGGTTTGGGGAACCCTGGGGTGGCCTCCCTTTTTCTAAAAGATAAATAGATCAAGGTGTGACAGGTAAAGGGAAGGGGAGATTGCCCAGAGAGTGAAGTTGATAAGGGCTGAGTGGGGCTCCAGTGGCATCATCATGACTATCCCTGGGGTGGGACCTTGTTACAGCTGTTATCAGAAATCTTGAAAGTGGGGGTAGCGAATCAGTTTCAAAGCTGCCCTCTCCCCTTGTTCTCAATGCTTCTGATAGCAAAAGCAATTAGTAGAGGCCTTGAAAAGCTCTCTCCTTGAGCAGAGCTAGTTATTTTTAATGTTTAATGTTTAAATACGCTGATGATACCAAAATTTGGGGTGAGGTGAGCACACTAGTAGGGAGGGAAAGACTACAACAAGACCTGGATAGGTTACAGGAGTGGGATGACCTGACAGGATGCGTTTTAATACTGACAAGTGCAGGGTGCTGCACATGGGCAGTAGAAACCAGCAGCACACTTATAGAATGGGAAACTCCCTTCTTGAGAGCACGGAGGCAGAAAGGGATCTTGGAGTCATTATTGACTCCAAGATGAACCTGGGCCGACAATGCGAGGTCACGGT